CGATTACACCATAAAAAAATCCCTTGTTAGTCTCAAAAGAAACATGTCCTGAACAATGTCCTGACATTCTAGTCAGACATTATCTACTTTCCCTTGTCTTCTCAAACTAGATCAAAACTTCTTCATCCATCAGTAAAAGATGTTTCACACAATAATACACACGTTCTGAAGCATAATCACGATGCTTTGGACTCTAAATAAACTCCTTTCATCCAAAATTAATGAACCATACCAAGATATCAGGACATCTTATGTGACATCTCCCATTCATCAACCAAGACATCCATTGAGTCCCAACTAGAGAAAAATAAATTCTCCCATTCAAAAACATTGTCTTTTAGAGTACTCCTAAAAAGTGTGTGTACACATGATTCAATCAATCAGCTTCACATGGCTAGAACCACCATGCAAGAGCACAATGAATTACATCTAGTAGCATGAGGTATACAATCTCCACAAGCTTGAACAACACACAAGCTTCAAAATGTCTCCATTATTGCAGCAAAACACCATAGACAAGTCCTTAACTCTCTCTGTCATGGATAAACACTACTCCTGTTGAAGATGAAGTACTTCTCCTTCTCATTATGGGGGCTACAACTTCGCACACTTGTTGGACACATTCACACACTGTAAAATCACTTGTGATCCAGATACTCTAGCTCCTCAAGAGCACATCCAAGTATCCTGACTTATCCAGTTAACAATGACATATCTGATAAATGGCCTTACAGATCCACACACTGTCATGACTCTTTGAATGGCCAAGATGTCATGCACACTGGGTATGACATTACTCATAAGAAAGATCTCAGTCTGCTTGCTTCACAAGATACAGATCGACACAGTCTTTATGCAGCAGAAGAATCCACCTCCTTATAAGCAAACAGATCAGATCACTTTATCTGATATTGTTCCCTTGCACCCATTGGCAATTGCTGGTACAAGTGAATTCTTCAATGTGATGGTAGTCATGCATTTACCATATACCCCACTGTATATATGGTCAGAATCTTTTCATCTTACTTCACCATAGTTAGAAAAGCCACTTCTAAAACTAGACTTGAGCATCAAATTCCACATTCATAATCCCAAGTATCTCCCAAAAGCAGCCATCAACAAGCATGATGTTACAGTATCATTTGGGACACCAGCTTCTCATCACAGAACCATTCACTTTGGTTCTTGATCTACCATCCATAGAACTTTATATACTCAGAAGTCCTTCCTTCAAGCTTGTACAAGAAGATATCCATAGGACACATCCTCAGCAGCTTATTCAGATCACAAGAAACCATGGAGAAAAATAAACTCTCATATACTTTCTGAAGCATAATGTTCAGACTGCAATTCTGCATCAATACATTAGATAAATACATAGCCCTCTTCTTCAATTAGGAAAAATGTCAAGCACAACTGAATTGACATCAGTCATATGCACAGCCACATGAGAGAAACATTTCCTCATGTTATTTCCTTCATAGTTTCTCTTCTTCAATCAACAGATAGTGCTACTTCCTCACAAATGGAAGAACATATGGTCTGACATTCTTCTTCTTTAATCTGCTAGCACGCATGGATTCAAACAGTTATGACTGATATTCACTCCAAAAACCACTCACGGCTTGACTTTACACTCCACCATGGTCAGACACACCATGAACTTCAAGCACGACTTCCTTTTTTGGAGAAGTAATCACTGAGATGGTGTTCAAACATCAATTCAGATGTCCATCTTAATCATAGGACTTTATTAATTACCATGGTTCTGGAGACATCATCCATAGTAACCCATACACATCCATTTGCACATAGCACATGAGAACCATACATCAATAGACAAATCACCCTTTAAGATAGATCTCATATATATGCAGCAATCCATATTTTACACACCTTGTAGTTAATCTTTCAAAATTAACTTATCTCAAGATGATCCAGCTCCATTACTCATCATCCACTAGTCATCAATATTGAAGATCTATCCATTAGACTTCCATAAATCATCATACCTTGGATGCCTTTACCACTACAATAGAACAAGAGTTCCATGTTCTCACTGAATTGATAATGATTTCAAGTTTGAGTGAACATATTCCATCCAGATCAGTTACTGCTTAAAGTCCCCTTTCTCCAACTCAATCCAAACCTATTCCATTAGAGCCAAGCAGCCACAAGCAAGATCACACATATCTGCCTTCTTTAGAATAACCTTCCATATGTCATAATAGAATATGTCCTTGACATTTGATATTGATCTCCAAATATAAGGAACCTGGTTGAGAAAACGAATCTCCACACAAAGATAGAGCTCAAACTCTACACTCCTATTTACTTGGATCAGGAAAAAAAACTGACCCAAGAAGTAATCAATAGGTTTATCCTCTTTTGACCAGCCCACTTATCTAAGACATGTTTATTGGATAGAAACTTCTTAGACAAACAACCCAGATGCCTCTTCAACACACATCTGCTATGTCATTCCTTAGACCAACATGGTTCTTCACACTTTGCTGATGATTTTTTTTAGAACTCTTTTCATCCACCATATTTTGACGTTTCTTTATGAGTGGACTTGAGATGAACCTCAAGTATCTTTGGAAACTTTAATAAGATGGTTGAAGTTATCTAGTATCACAACATCAGGGATAAGCTTCAAAAGAGACCAGATCATAATGCTTTTCCCTTATTGATATTCCAAGAACAGACCTTTCTAAAGCCTCAACACAAGAGACACAGATCTACATGAGGTTTTACATCAAATACACATAGAGCGGAAAAAAAATCAACGGCTCCTTAACACCCTTCAGGCACACCATATTGGTTCTTTCATACAAGTACACCATATCAACATCATCGACAACTTCACCATGTCACAGGTAATCAATACTCCCCCTCAAGAGACCATCCAACCAACAATACGAATTGTCTAAGTTCACACATCAGGCAAGATGTCACACCATTTGATAAGACATCATGCACACACGCATACCACCGCCAACAGTAGTAACAGAGTCACACTATAGCCTTGGAAGGTAGACAATCTTCATCATCTTCAAATGATCCTCCACCCATTGCCTCTATCAAATAGCCTTATGCACTCCTTAAGTTTGTCACAGACTTTAGGAGTGATATTACTTACCTCCCTTGTCATTACCTTTGGATATGTCTTCTTCAAATCAGCCCTTTGCAGAGATCTTTTTGTTTATAAGTCCTCCTTCCTTGTCCATTGAACCAGAAAGTATCTTCCTCAAATCTCACCCAGAATAAGACAGGATGCCTGCTCTGATACCAATTGAAATTCTGGTGTTTAGATCATAGATGTCCTAAGAGTTGTCGAGACACTGAAATCTGACTTTATCATAATAGCAAGGTATAAACATAAACAATGCTGAAAAGTAAAGGCGCACACATGATTTTTAACCTAGTTTGGTGTACAACAACACCTACTCCCAGGAGCTACCAAGCCAGGAAAGAAATTCACTAAATAGTATTAATTCAAATCTAAACTCCCCCTTTAAAACTTCTCACTTAATCACTACACGTGCTATATTTATACTTAATACACACCTAGGTATGAAACCCCTCTCACTTCTCTTACAGTCACAAACAGTGACAAGAACACAGTCACAAATAGTGACAAGAACTCAACTTAAAAGACTTAGAAGACAATCTTCAAAAACACACAATCACTATATACTTAGAAGTTTAAGAGTGATTGATAATCAAGGAGGAGACACCCTCCAGTAAACAAAATTCACTTTTGCTTAAAATTATTTGAGTGATTCACAATTACAACTCAACTAACAGTCAAACTCAAGTAACAAACGATACAAGAGTGGCTTACACACAACAAATGAACGAAGCCCTAATAATATACACTTTTATAACTTTGTCTCGAATCTTCTTTAGGTATAGAGACTTCTTTTTATAACATTTTTTCTGGACTGAATTGGACTTGAAAAACACAGCAAAGAGACTGCACAAAGTTTGCAAAATCTTCTCCATGAAAATAGATCTTCAATCATAACTTTCCTAAAATGTCTCAACATTTAGAAAAACTTGGATAAATTGAATACCAACATATATCCCTATTTTCACACACTTGGACGCCACGTGTGATTACATAACATTCCCGGAATATTCAACATTTGTAACAAACAAACATGATCTAAAAGTCCAATTGTAACAAACACGATGTCGAACGATTCTACATGGGTCATCATATTCAACATGTTTCCTCTGCAAGTTAGAACATCCTACTTAACATGTTGTTGCCTAATTTATTTTACTAAAATTAGTGTCAATTCAAAAATAGTGAATTAACACTTAGAAAAAATTCTCTGTGTTTGGCCAATTCGACAAATTAGAGTGTCCCGCTTTAGCATGACTTTTAAGCAACCTGTGAACTTCTTTGGACCTCAAATCTTGTACAAATATGTAGTATCACACAAAATATTTAAATGCAGTCTTGATTGCAAATTTTGATGAACAAATGAGAGAGATATAACCTTGAAAAGTCACCCACATGATCATGTGCTTTTGTACTTACAAAAATTTCTAATATCCTCATTCTTGCCCTTTTCCAAGTTTTCATGATTTTCAGGATTAAGCTTGATAAATCTCATCCTCTTGTCATATTTTCTTGTATTATTGACTTTGATCACCAGCTTTGACCAAGAAACCCTAAATTCAACCTTTGACTTTTAGGCATTTTGTTGATTTTTTGTATTTGAACCAATGAACTTCAAATTAATTTGAATTGACTTATACCACAGTCAAATATCATTTTGCCTTGAAAATAGTGATCTCAAACCAATGCTCCTGATGAAAGAAATAGCTTGAAGATGTTGTGAATGAACCAAAACCCTAGCTCATAGGACCCTTAATTATATCCTTGATGAAACCATAATTTCTTGATGCACTTTAGAACTCTTGATGCTTGCAAATTTTGATGAACATGATTTAGTAGCTTGATAACCTTGAATGAAGAGGAAAGTTTAAAAACCATAGCGAAACCCTAATTCCATGACCCTTGGTCCCAATGCCAAGTTTATTGATGATGCATGATTTCTTGTATGACCTAATGGAAAGGTATGTAAATGAAAAGTGCAAGATGCATAAGTCAGGTAAAAGTATAAGGGTGGGACAAATTTTAGGTACGACACCTTCCTTCAAAAATTGCTCCATGCACAAATGTATATCTCCTATACCACCTGCATATTCATCACCAAAACTTAATGTTGTGCCTGAACCAATAAGCCAACACATAGTTGCCTTTTCAAAATATAATGCTATGCTTTCTCCAAAATCTGAAAAATGTGCCATGCATACCTAGCCAAAAATTCAAAACAAATATTAACAACTAACATTTCAAAAATAGTAAGCAACAATAACGACTCTAAACTTTAGATGAACATAAAAACTCATTAATTAATCAAAATGAAAACAGAAAACAAGATTCAACTTGATGCCAATAGAACAAATTTTAGCTCAGTTCATGACCTTGGACAACTAAGCATAACAGAATTTCAGAGCTCTAACAAACTTCATAACAATTACAATCTCACCTTTGACCTCTAACTAACTTCCCTATATCCTATGGTTCAGATGCATCACCCTCAAACTATATAACAAGACTCCATCCATTCTCACTCTTCCACATCTATCTCTGAACCTCTGAGTCTCCACCAACCTTCACCATAACTATCTCTCTGAACAAGACTCACACAACAAGATCAAAAATACACATCGAAGCAGAAAGTAGAAGAAGAAGAAGAAGAACGAACTAGCATACAGAGTTCAAAGAAAGAAAAAAAAATGTGTACCTGAGTTCTTGAGTAGTTTTCTCTGGTGTTCTCATCATCTTCATCACTCTAAAGAAGCACCAAATGTTATCCGGTCGGTAAGCTTTGGCTTCTCTTCGTTCTTCGTTCTTTTGCCATTTTTCTTCATGCTATTACATAGAAAAGAATGAATAGAACATAAACCCTAAGGTTTCGAGGCCGTTTCATGCTATAGAAGCATTTAATTTGATTTTCTGGTAGATCTAGGGTTTTCTTTTTGCTCTGATTGTTCAAGTTTGAAGTGTAATCAAGGAAAATGAAGAAATTAAATGGAAGGAAGAAGGGGAGACGAAGGTGTTGATGTATTTTGTTTACGGTTATGAGGCATATTCGTCGTGACCGTCGCCGGAGGCGTGACGGTGCAGTAATGTTGTTTGAATGCTCAAGAAAGAGAGAGGGAAGAAGATTGATTTAAAGAGGCACAAAGTCTTAACCTAACAACAATCAAAAGACACTGTATGCCACATATTTTAATTTTTGTTTTAATTGATAAAATTTGAATAAAAATTGTAATAAAAATCTAAATTATGAGCAATGGTCTGAGCCTGGAGACAATTTACTGTGCGCACCTCTTCGGAAGCCCATGTACCACCATTTTTGACACACCTGAAGCGGAAGAACAAAAAATCGCTTTTGGACTCACAAATTGGGCTTAGCCCCTGAATTACTGGACCAAACGCCTTTTTCCCTTGTCCACACCCCCATGGGCTCTTCATTTTCAATTTCTTTTTATTTGTTTGATTTTATTAACTGTTTTGAATGGTTTTCATTTTCTTTACATGAAATATGACAAAAATGTATTAGAATGTGATTTTTAATTCTCGTGGTTTGAATATTTGGTTGATTCTTCACATGTTCCCGTATGAATTCTATCAAGCGATTAAAATTTCTTTTTGACCGTTTTATGTCAAATTAAAACTTTAGGATCAACCTATGTATGATGATAACATTGAGATTTGTTTTTCCTTTGAAAACACAATCTTAGGACCACACTTTCATGACAACAATTAGGGTTGAAGTTACCTTTGCTTTTGTTTCTTTTGCATTGCATGTCTTATCTTTTAAAAGACTAAAATCTTTTTCTTAATCTAATACCAAAATACTTAATAAATACGATACACATAATACACCATGAGCCTTAAGAAAATGGGGAAAGATGAGCGAGAGCCTTCCTTACCTTTCTTAAAGTATTTTGTACATGAGACTATTGGCTCATTTTTACAAAGTATTTGCCCTCATTTCATAGTCTTTAGTATAATACGTATCTAAAATTATTTCAAAATTAAAGAAGGAATACTCAAATACCCCCAGCCTTGAGGGACCATTTAATGTATCTCTTAACAAAATACTTCAACATACTCAAACCTTTTTGTCTTCAGGTTTCTTTTTTCTTTAAAACCTTTTCAGAAAGGACATGTTATTTTTGTTCTACCGCAAACAGCTAACGCGTGTATCTCCACACAACAAGCGACAAACACATAATTGCTAGAACGCAAACATAACATCGTCCACTAAAACACAACCAACAAACAAGTATTTTCTAGAAGAACTACAGAGTTCTGATTTCCTTTGGGATACGTAGGCACATGGTTGCAAGATCTTGGCGAACTCAATAATAAAAACCTTTTGTTTTTCCCTTAATCAAATTATTCATGCATTCTTATCAAGTAAGCTTTATATAACAACACCCTTACAAACAAACAACCAAAGTGGATTTCGTTGAGTACAATGGATGTGAGGGATGCTAATACATTCCCCTTGCATAATCGACTTTCGAACCTATCTCTTGGTTGCAAGACCATCTTATCTATTCTTTTGGGGTTTTCTTGATGTTTCCCCTTCCCTTTGGAATAAATAAATTTCAATGACGACTATGTGTTTTTTCTCGTAGCGACAATATTTATGATGAGTTTTATCGTGAATTTAGAGATTTGATGTTTAAAAAATAGCGGTAATATATTAAATTATTTATTAAAAAAAATATGACCAAAAAATTTGGGTAACCCACTACCAAACCCAATCAACCCACAAATTTATGGTTTTACCCAAACCGACCCAATAATATCGTGGGTGTACCATGTACAGATTAGGTTATGGTTTTGGCTAAATTTAACCCATATCGACCCATGTTCACCCCCGCCTAGAAATGACTCATGGACATTGTGTTCTCCCGCCGGATTGAGAAAAATATAGAGGTTTATATTGACGACAAGATAGTGAAAACTTCTAAAGGGCACATCCAGGATACAGACTTAGAGGAAGTCCTACAGTCAATCACAAAGTATAACACGTGCATGAAGCCTGCCAAATGTTATTTTTGGGTTCAAGCCGAGAAGTTACTTAGATACATGCCGATGAAGAGAGGAATTGAAGTCAATCCATATAAATGCCATGATGACATTGATATGAGAAGCCCCACCAATGTCAAGGAAGTGCAACAACTTACAAGTTGCCTTGGCACCCTATCTCTCTTCCTCTCGTGTGCAAGAAACAAGATTTTCCTCTTCTTTGCCGCCCTGAAGAAGAAAGAGAGGTTTGAGTGGACCATAGAATTCAAAGAGGTTATCTCGATGATAAAATCCTTCCATGTATCATCGATCATTCTCACTCTCCCGAGAGAGGAATCACCATTAGTCCTCTTCCTCTCACTCACAAATCAGGCAATGCGTTCAATACTCGTCCAGGAGATAAATAAGGTAGAAAGGCCCGTGTATTTTGTAATCAAGATGTTCAAAGGCTTCAAAGCACATTATCAAAAGATTAAGAAGTTATAACTGGGTTTTTTCATCTCAGAGAGAAATTTATGGCCTTATTTCCCATGTTACAAAATCCTCGTGAAAACCTACTATCATATTCAACAAGTCCTAAAACACCAGATCTGACGGGAAGAATGATATCTAGTACATCTAGAGAGGAAGAATCAAATCCCAAGCTCTAAAATATTTCGTGTCAAAATTTAGATCGCTTGAAAATGAAGAGACGCCTTTAGAGTGGACAATATTAGTCGATGGTCCCTCGAATGTAAAGGGGGAAGACAAAAGAATAATCTTGGAAGGGCCTAGTGAAATATTGGTCGAGCAAGCACTCAAGTTTGAGTTCAAAGATAGAAATAATTAGGCAGAGTATGAAGCCATCTTTACTGGTATGGTCCTTGTCCTAGAAATGGTATCCTCATAATTGAAATCCAAGAACAATTTCCAATTAGCCGATAACCAAGTCTATAGACAATACCTGGCCAAAGAAGCTGATAAATTATCTATGCAAGGTGCAAAGTCTATCCACATGTTTTATATCTATTGAAGTAGAACATGTCCATTGTGAACAAAACTTCAGGGTTTAATAAGACAATGATCTAAGAGACTCTCGCTTCCCCAATATTAAGGAAGACAAATTTTAGTCCCTCTAAGTTATCCCCGAGTCTAGTTGGATGCCGCTCATACTATGGTACCTACAGTAGGAAGAAATCACACCAAATGAAGGGGAAATAGGGTAGGTCTAAAAATAGGCTTCCAAATACACCTTTTTTGCAGGAAAAATTTATAAAATAGAGAGAGCCTCCCCAATGTTGTGTAGTTTGGGAGAGCATGAAATTGCCTTAGTATTCCCCAAACTTCACAAAGGAGCATGCAATAGTCATATTGGCAGAAGGGCTCTCGCTTACAAACTACTTAGGTCGGGATACTATTGGCCTATCCTAATGAAGGATAACATCACTTTTTCAAGAACCGTGACCAATGTTAGAGACATCTGAACCTTCATAACACATCGACTGAACTTCTTCACTCAATGACGTCGCCCTAACCTTTCTACTAGTGAGGGTGGGCATCTTAAAACCGTTCCCCGTGGCATCAGGCCAACTAAAATGCTTGATTATAGGAGTATATTACTTCACAAAGTTGATAGAGATATAATTTGTCACAAAGATATCAGCTGAAAGAGTTCGACGTTTCCACTAGTAGAAAATTATGTGTAGCTTCATACTTCCTTAACCATTATCTTAGACAACATGACTTAGCTTGCAAGCACTAGAGTCACCGAGTTTTATTGAGAATTACGGGTGCAAATAAAGTTCGTATATGTTATCCACCCGTAAGCCAATGGAAAAGCTCAACCAAAAAACAATGTGATTCTAAAGAGGCTCAAGGAGAAGCTCGATGATTCGATAGGCTTATGGATGGAACTTCTCCAGGAACTCTATTCACCATGATGTACGAGCAAATGTTATGCTACCCGTACAGATTGACATGCCCACATGGCGACGCTCCTAGTTTAACTAGGAGGTGAACCAGGCGAGATTGAAATTTGCTGTGAATTTGGTTGATGAATTAAGATAAGTATTCCATATCCAATCATTTTCTGCCAAGCATAGAGCCGCCATAAGGCACAACTCCAAAGTCATGCCTAGGAAAATGCGAGTGACAGACCTGATATTAAAGCAAGTTATTCTAGTTGCACAATAGGGAAAGCTACAACCCAAATGGAGGAGACCATGTCTAATATTCTAAAAGATCCCCCACGAGGCATACAAGCTTTAAGAATTAGATGAACGACTGTTACCCAGAACTTGGAATGTTCTCCGTCTTATATATCATTACATTTAGATTATTTTAATTCCTTATAAGACATAATCATCTACCATGTACAATATTTTGAATGTTTATGAGCAGCAAGAACATATTTTATATGATGTACGTTAGACATTCTAGAAAAGATTCATACGACATCTTAAGACAATATGATGTATGTTGGACTTCCTGGAAAAGATCTTTACTGCCTCTTAAGGCAATATTATGTACGTCGGACTTCCTGACGAAGATCCTTGCCACCTCTTAAAGTAATATTTTGAATGCTTGACTTCCAGGAAAAGATCTTTGCCTCATCTTAAAGAAATATTACATACGTTGGACTTCCTGGCAAAGATCCTTGCCACCTCTTAAGGTAATATTACGTACGTTGTACTTCCTGGTGAAGATCCTTTCCGCCTCTTAAAGCAACATTTTGAACGTTGGACTTCAAGGCAAAGATCTTTTTCGCCTCTTAAAGAAATATTAAATATGTTGGTCTTTATGGAGAAGATCCTTGCTTCCTCTTAAGGCAATATTATGTACGTTGGACTTGCTGGCAAAGATTCTTCCCGTCTCTTAAAGCAATATTTTGAACATTGGACTTCCAGGAAAAGATAATTTTTGCCTCTTAAGGAAATATTACGTACGTTGGACTTCACTACGAAGATCTTTTCTTCCTCTTAAGGAAATATTATGTATGTTGGACTTCCTGGTTAAGATCCTCGCCGCCTTTTAAGAAAATATTTTGTATGTTAGACTTTTTGGAGAAGTTCCTTGCCACCTCTTAAGTAAATATTGCGTACGCTGCACTTTTCGATGAAGATCATTGTCGCCTCTTAGTGAAATATTTTATGTTGTACTTTTTGGCGAAGATCCTTTATGCCTCTTAAGGCAATATTATGTATTGGTGACTTCCTAGCAAAGATCATTTTCGCCTCTTAATGCAATATTTTATGCACTGGATTTCCTGGTGAAGGTCCTTGCCACCTTTTAAGACAATATAATGTATGCTGGACTTCCTGGTGAAGATCCTTGGTACCTCTTAAGGCAATATTACATATGTTAGACTTCCTAGATAAGATCTTTGTTGCCTATTAAGGCACTATTTTATGATGGACTTTCTAGTGAAGATCCTTGCCACGTCTTAAGGA